TGCACATCTGCATTTTTAAAACTAAAGACACTCAGTGTTAGCTCTTGTTCTACCATTAAACAAGAGAAAGTTACCCTGCGTTTGTTCATGAATCATGCTGTGTCTGTGGCAGCCTGCATACAACTAGAAAGATATATTACGAGACTTAAGCCTTGTGCTAATTCAGTGTCACTGGAAAGCTAGAAATTATTCTTATAATACAATCACGAGAAATCATCGCCTGTTATTCAGTCAACTACAAATTACAAAACCTTGGTCTAGCGTTTTAAGAAAAATAAGGAATAATTCATGGAGTGTAACTGATAGCCTACTGTTCGTGTATTACATTGTTGTAGATGTATTGTGGCACTAAAATCGGTTAGCACTTTTTCATAGAGACATCAGGGTAATGTGATAAACTTAGAGAAAATAGGCACCAGTTTCCACATTAAAAATAATGGACTATTGGCTAGTAAAGCCAATGGAGGCGGCGGCGGGGCTTATTACCTATTTTCCAAGGAAACATCCCATTATAAATGTGTACTGAGTGTTTGACATTTTGCTTATATGAACATGCAAACAATTGCCGGACGCACACATTACACTGAATCCATTACACCATGTGGCATGAACAATGAACCCAAAGGCATATTCTACCGTCAAAGAGGATTGCTTGAATCGTTATATAACCAATGCATACGTACCCAGGGTTGGGTTGATTTAAATCAGATTGATTTAAATCAGTTGATTCTTTTGATTTAATGTTATGCAAGTGAAAGCCAAGTCGGAAGCCGTGTCCGTTTGATTGTTCTTAACTCCTGAAACTTCATAAGGTACGTTTTGAGCTAACACTATGCCTTTGGGCAGCGTGTGTTGACACAGATACTCACTTCATAGCTGCACGTTTTGAGCGAAAATTGTGCCCTCGGGCAGCGAGCCAAGAATTTTGAAATGCTAAAACAACCAGTTTATGTTTTTGGGACTCTTTTTCTCTTGTTCACTTGTGAAACTTGTTTGACGATGGAACGTCGGCCTTTGAAACAACATGCTAAGAAATCAACTGCTTAAAGGAAAGGCAGGCGCAAGACGGATACAGATTCCTGCCACCTCTGAAGTAGTCTAGTTTCTGTGCAGACTGCTGCTCTGACCAGCATGCTAGGCTGTGACAGTGTTTCAGTGATGCAAAGAGCTAAAGGTCTTTATTTCGCCGATTGCTTCTGTCTCTGGAATTTTAGAAAACCCGGAAGTGATATTTCGCGAGGCGTATTTTGTTTTGAGAGTATAGATCTAGACCTCCTATTTTTTGCATTCTCAAGATTTATTCCTCCATTCCAGTAGAGTGCAAATATAGCAGGCCAATTACTTTTAGTTGATATTAAAGCACCGATCATTCCTTTCATCGAAAGCTTTATTTCGCCGATGTGCTTTTCCCTTTCGTCAACCCGCAGCCACCTCCCGAATCGTCAGCCACCTCCCAACCTTTGACATGGGTTAAACTTCCATCTATTTATAGGTAGTTAAATTTACCGGAACATGTATTTGCGAAGTGATGTGCAATGATAGTCGCAATAGAGAGATTGTTTTGGTCTCTCTTTACTCATCTGCACCACACGAATTTAATTGATGTTTTTCTCTAGACTCTGCCTTTACTAAAGTATCGAATCTAGATCTAGTTGTAATCTAGTTGCAGGTTGCAGATTAAATAGATTGCTTACAGAGAGAGAGAGAAGGGGGAGGAGTAGATCTTGCGAGAACTTCCGGGCAAAACAATATGGCGACCCGCGTAGTTCGGCTCGATTCGAAAAGTGAAAGAGCCATAGAATCTTTGTAGACGAACAAATTAGCTTACTTTTGTTCTATAACGTCATTTTTTTCTTTGCTTTTGTCAATTTGATCATCCACACCGATAGAAAGTATTTCGAAATTAGGAATAAAAGGTCTTGTTTCACACTGGGTGAGAATAGCCAACGCTGGCAAGTCTCACCCGGGATGAGATGTCAATCGTAGGGTTTTTATTCTCACCCCGGGTGAGGATAGCCACTTCCTTACTTAAATGATTAGGTGATTAAACTTGATCTCTTATTGACAATATAAAAGTCAATTTAAGCTTCATTTCGTTAGAAAAAATGTGTTAGGTTTGCTAACTTCTTAGACTTTGTGTTAAACAACACCTTTAACAAAACGAATCCTTACAACCCTAGGCTTAGCCTTTGTAATCTCGAAGGTTTAGAAGTAGAAGAGTCTACTACTAGAGTCTAGAGTCTAGTTCAATTTATTTAATCTCTTGAATGTACTGGATAACAGAAATCTGCAACCTGCCACTAGATTACAACTCTAGATCTAGATATCAGATCTAGATTCGAGATTTTAATAAAGGCAGAGACCAGGGAAAAACTTCAAGAAATTTTCGTGGTGATGAGTAAAGAGAGACCAAAACAATCTCAATAAATAATATATCGCGACTATCACGGCACACCACTTCACCTATACATGTACCGGTAACTACCTATAAATAGATGGAAGTTTGACCCGTGTCAAAGTCAAAGGTTGGTATGTTGCTGACGATTCGGGAAGTGGCTGCGGGTTGACGAAAGGGAAAAGCGCTTCGCCGATCGCTTTTGTAGGCTCTGTCTCTGTAATTTAGAACATCCACCAGGTTTGTTTATTTCGAGTCGTACTTCCGTTCGATACTATCGCGCATTGTCGCGCAATACTGAGCACTATTTTAAGTGTGCGACCTGTATAGATCTAAAAATCTAGACCTTTTAATTTTTTGCATCTCTCAAGATTTATTGCTCCATTCCAGCAAAGTGTATATAATAGTCCAGTAACTTTCAGTTGATGTTAATGCACTGATCATTCCTTTCATCGAAAGGGGGCCCAGCTAGTTTAATATAATATAATATAAAATATTATATATTATATTATAATGTAATATAATATAATACAATATAATATACAACAATATAATATACAACAATATAATATAATATAATATAATATAATATAATCTAATCTAATCTAATCTAATCTAATCTAATCTAATCTAACCTAATCTAATCTAATCTAATCTAATCTAATCTAATCTAATCTAATCTATATTATGGTGGTCCCTCGGCCTCATATGAGCCTGGGGCTGGGGCCATTGGTTCATCTTGTAGTGCAGAAAAAATGTGAATGTGAAGTGAGGATGGTTGGGTGCAGCATATGTAGGGTAAACAATTATAATTTCTTTTGTAAATTTAAGTGATTTTTTTTTCTCCCATCGACACAATCAGATCATTTAGGGGGTGGGCTTCCGACTTCTGACTTCCGACTTCCGACCCTGACTGTCGTCAGGGCCAGCCCAGGCTGAGAGGGAAACAACACTCCAGCAGAAACACAGATTTTGGTACTAGATAACAATTTCTCCCCCCTCAGGAATCGAAGTCGGGTCTCATGAGTGCAACAGCGAAGAGCCTACCGCTACACAATAATATAGACGCTGTTGTAAACAAGTTTCAGGGGGCTCTCGTGGTCGAGAGGTTACGGTGTTCGCCTCTCATTCAATAGGTCCCGGGTTCGAATCCGGATAGCGACGGAAAATTTTCTTCTCTAAAACGTTCTCCTTTCACCTCCTTTTCTGCTCTCTAACAATGTTCTGTCGTCTGCTTTCGTCTCCACTTTCTTCCTCCACCCCCTAATCTCCTTTCCCCCCCTCCTCTGGGCTCCTGACTCTTTCTGCAGCCTTTCTACTGCTACTCCTTGGCTCCTTCTTACTGCTGTCTTTCCGCCACACCTATGATCTTATGGCAGGTAAATTAATGTAACATCCAGCCTTCTCGGATAAGGGCGAAAAATCTCGGAGGTACTGTGTGCAAGTTGCGTACGTTCAAGATCCCTTGGGGGTCCAAAACCGGTAAGAGTAGGCTTCGGGCACCACGCGGGCAAAATTCCAAATTAACTCCTTATCAAACACTAAAAATTTTCAATTTGTCCCGCGCTCTCGTATGACCTTATGCAGTTGCGAGCGCCATAAAACACTTACCAAAAAAAGATTTTTTTAAAAATCATTAAAATTCTACATGTATTTCTTTTGATTACAGTTAACTAAATTACTAAATATATCCAGGGCACTACTTTGATCCCATTCCAGGGCATTTGATTTAGTATAAAGATCATGTTTCTACCCATTCGCTGGATTATCAACTAGGATCTAAAAAAATATTTCGAGGGTGGTGTTGGGGGTTTAAGTCGATTATATTTTCTCACATTCACACTGTTTTACATTTGTTTATTGGATACGTATTTCAGATGTATCAAGTAAACGAATAATATACACATACGCTATGTTTTAGAACATTTTGTTCAAATAGACAGCATGATTTAAAAAAAAAAAGTTTTTTCTCAAAATTATAATTTTTTTTGGGGGGGGGGGGGGGGGGGGGGCACCTGCGCGGACATTATTCTGAAGGCATATTGTCACTGCTCAATCTCACTTGGCATGAATATTTCAAGATAATAATAATATGCCGGCTACGTACTACGATAATATTATTGTTATTATTGCGGTATAGGGGTACGTTTTCTGTCGGTGTTAAAAAGATTGAAGGTATCAGTCTGATTTGTGACTAATCTTTTGTCAGGGTATCGTAAATCACACCAAAATGGAAAGTTACAAGAAAAGTATGAGACAAAAAAGAACAAATCTGTAGTACGTTGCAGGTCGTATATTATTCAGAAACACTGCGTGAAAATAGCAAGGCTGTATCAATTTAATCTTTTTTACAATTTCCTTTAAACAATTTGCACGTATTTTGCTCTGTCAAACCCATTTCATCTCATGAATTCAGAAAACTATCAGTGAAATCAAACATGGGTGGTATTTGTCTGTTTCTTGGCCAATATTAGTTATTGTGAATCACAGTATATTTATTTATTTATTTTGGATCACAAACAATTTTCCCTTTGGTCGTTAGGCCTTAAACAAATAAAGGAACAATACAAACATACAAATGCTTATGTCAACCTTTATTTCAAAGACCACGTGGAAAGGAGAACAAAAAAAGGAAAGGGGGGGGGGGGGAGAGTTTAAAGTAATGGTGATTTATTATCCATCCAAATTTGTTTCAATCTAATTTGGGCTCTGAAAAATTCAAAGTAGCGGGAACATTTTTGAGTCCCCGAGAGAAGACCGACAAAATTCTGATTTGATTTTGAAGAAAGAATCCAATTTCCTTGTGTGTTGAGCATTTCCTTTTGATCCTTTGATACCCTGATCGTCCTGGACTCGTTGTCACATTCACCCGAAAACGTCCAAGTGAAAGTTATCGCAGTCCCTCTTCATGAAAGGGTCAACAAACTGTTTGTACACGTCAGCGGTGTACACATCGCATGGCCTCACAATGGCATCCTCGCACACGTAGATGCTCTTGGCCGCCTCACACATTCTCTGTAAGAATTATACAAAACAGATAAAGAAAACAGCCATTCGAAAAATCAAGCAAAAACAAAAATATTGAGTGAAAAAAAATACAGTGAGATAGATAGATAGATAGATAGATAGATAGATAGATAGATAGATAGATAGATAGATATATGGATAGATAGACAGACAGACAGATAGATAGATAGATAGATAGATAGATAGATAGATAGATAGACAGACAGACAGACAGATAGATAGATAGATAGATAGATAGATAGATAGATAGATAGACTTAAGGAGTTGAATCATAGTCCAAGAACAAATCTTTGAAAAAAAAACCCAAAGAAAAGATACCCTAAAGAAAGACATGGAGAAAACTGGGCAGATAGAGATTTGTTCTAGTCGATAACCGTGAGTAAATGGTTTTTGTTGTTGTTTTTTTTCTTCCTAGTATCATTACATACTTACACTTACAGACAAGTTTTATAACTCTTGTCGAATCGTCTTACCACTTTTTCTCTTAATCATCAAATATCTCTGCATTGACTTACATGCTTTTAGAAATAATATACTCTAATTTTACCACGGGTAGAGAAAAATGAGACGAAAATCTCTTGTCCATAACAATTATGCGACATTCGAACGGCTCTCCGACACTTAAAAGAAATGCTGTGAACCGAACAGCGAAACAAATCGAGAATTTAGAATAGTAAAGTCGAATAGGTACAGCTTTTCATACAATTTACCTGGTCTAGAGACGATTCCTTCAGACGTTCAAACTCTTTCTTGAAACAGTTCAGGACAATAGCGTGATTAGCAGGCAGTTTAATCAGGCCCAGGCAGTTGTTCTTGAAGTTTTTGTCAGTACATTGCACATCCAGCACCTTTTTGAAGTCCAAGCCTTCTGCCATTTGTGTGACTAGACCAGAGAAAATAGTTATATCATTGCTTATGTCTTCTATTCTCAAGTATACAACGACGACGACGACGACGACGACGACGACGACGATGCTGCTGCTGCTGCTGATGATGATGATGATGGTGATGTACGCTCGAACATTTCCTTTGCTCACTCCACGTATAAACAGTTAACCTCCTATCAAGCTGGTGATGAAGAGAACCCCAACTCACCCCTCGCCCTGACACAAACTAGACCACTCGGACAACTGTTGAGATAAAATGTTTTGACACTCTTACTAGTGCGCTCGTCTCCAAAGCGAGAAGTCCGGGTTCGAGTAAAATCTGGGAGGTCCCGTGTACAAGTTGTGCACGTTAAAGATCTTTCGGTAGTCCAAAATCGATCAGAATAGGCTTCGGCTGCCACCTAGGCGAAATTCAAAATGTCCTACAAACTGAAAATGTTTGGTGTGTCCCGCGTGCTCATATGACCATAGTATGCAGCTGCGAGCACCGTAAAACACTTACACCCCCCCCCCCCCAACAAAAACTACTAGCATTGATACAAGTTACCTTGTCATCGGTGGCCTAGTAGTTAGGCTACCGGACTCGTTATCGCGAGGTTGCAGATTCGGGGGTTCGAGCAGCGGGCCCTACGTTGTGTCCTTCGGGAAGGCACTTCACACATATTTTCCTCACTTCACCCAGGCGGGAACGGTTACCCGGCCATAGACGGAGAAAGACCTTGTCAGTATGTTAATGTTTTAGCTTGCACTTTATGCTTCTCAGGAAGTTGAGGTTGTTTCAGAGTGCTCTCAGGTCTGTGCTGGGGTAATAGTATAGGTTGGGAAGCGCAAAGAGCTTGCTGTTGGACGGAGATTTGTGATATATATATATTACAAAATTAATGCTATCTATTATTATTTTCTTTTATAACTAGCCCCTTATGCGGGCTCATACTGAATTATGGCCGGCCGCCTGGGAACTCATCATCATCCGGTGCCTTGCTGACTGGCGTGGGCGATCATGGACCTCCACTTCACTCTATCTTGCGTTGCAGCAATGGTGCTCCTAGCCATGTTGTCATCTTGTCCAGTATCTTTTCCCTCTGCCTGCCTCTGCCTCTCTTTCCATCAAATTTGCCTGTTGTTACAATATTCTCCAATGCTTCTTTCGGCTATGTGTGTCCGAAAAAAATTGCCTGTCGCTTTCTTATATTCGTCATAAACTGTCTTCTACAATTTGCTTCAACCAAGACTTCTTCATTTGTTTTTCTAGCTGTCCACGGGATACGTAGCATGCGTCTTATGAACCACAACTCTGTCGCCGCAATTGTTCTTTCCAGCTGTTTATTGATTTTCCTGAGAACTACATGTAACAATAAAACCTCCTATGTTAAGCCCCTTTCCTTGATACCAATACAGCGCTCAGTTAGTTCACTTTTAGCTGCACCTAAGTAAGCCAATGTGGCGATACGTCCAACCGATTTATTGAGAAATATTTTAAATATTTTTTACTTGTACATAGTGTCTGTAAATCAATTAAAACGATGATGATGCTGGTGCTGATGATGCTGATGCTGAGGATGACGATGATGATGATGATGATGATGATGATGATGATGATGATGATGAGGGTGGTGATGATGATGATGATGATGTGATGATGATGATGATGATGAGGGTGGTGAGGACGATGAAGAAGAAAAATATGAAGAAGAAAAAAATGAAAGAGAAGATGGTAATAATGATGATGATGATGCTAGCAGTAGTAGTAATAGTAGCGGCAGTAGTTGTAGTAGTAGTAGTAGTAGTAGTAGTAGTAGTAGTAGTAGTAGTAGTAGTAGT